TCTGCACCGACCAGACATGTGCACATTGTTTTCTTGTGTTTGTGCACTGATTTTCACTGTCCTCATATCATACGTGTGTTTTCTCCCATTGCCTACTCGCCAATATCTCCCTTCATGATGAGGTTGGTTTAGGCGAGATGGAATAGGGTGGGATGGAATGGGATGGGATGGGATGGGATTGACTACATCTTCGTGGTCTGTGGTGCTCTTTTCTGCACCTTTTGGGGCCATTGGCAATACCAACGCCGCCTCTATTGCCATAACCAAGGCCCTCGTTGACCCCAGATCAGTTACTATCACTTGTTCTCCTTCGGGGCACCATTCGACTTCGTTCATATCGTCTGTCTCCTACCCCAACACCCCTCCTGGTAAGCAACTACTGCCGCTGCTGGCGTTGTTGCTGCTATGGTTGCCATTCACTTGCTCTTTCTCCCACTCGTTTTTCATTCGAAATGGGCATACTTACGACGTCTCTAGGGCCCTACTTCTTTCCCACCTCTTTTCTGTCCGGCATCTGCATCCAAGCCTGTCGAGGGAAGGGGCGGAGCCTGGGGTATGGCGAAAAGCCGGACTTTGCTGTTTTGTCATCACCATCGCAAATACGATGAGTAACTGGGTCTCTTGTCTTAACAATGCTGAGGAGGCTCAGTTCTTATGAAAGTTGAAAAAGGATCGGTTCGTGTAAAATCTGAGTAGGCTTTCAACCGAACACAGATGTTAAGACACACACGTACAAATGTATGCATAAACAGACAGACGCACACTAATGTGATAGACAACTAACCAAATCATACTTTCCATATTTTAGTTCTTCATAGAGTTCTTCATAGCAATTAGAATAGAGGCCGATTGTCTTCTTGACTCTATGTTGATCGGAAGATTTTTTAAGAATGATTTCAAGCGTTGATAATGTCGGAAATGTGGCAGACGACGGATGAGGACTGCTCTAACACACAATTTATATTACCCTCAGACGACAATAATGAGCCTTCGTTTTACGGTGGGATTGACTACCCAATCTCTTCATCATGCACATTCATACGAAGCGAAACGTCGTACAACATCGATGGACCTACCCTCATTTCTAGTCTGACGAAGGTATTTTTGGGTCTCGGGCTGTTGACTTCTAATGCTGCACAACAACATTTGCAATCGTTTCAGACGTAGCTTGGTCGGGCGGAAAGACATACCATGTGCAACCTGTTGGGGAGAGCTTCCTTTCGTATGGGAGTGCATGAAGAAGAGATTCGTAGTTTGATCTCACCAGAAGACGACGGCTGAATCCCATTCTATTGCAGCCGCTTGGTTCTAATAAGACATTCAAGTTGGCGAAGCACACTAGACCTCCCTTGTTTCGGCTGAAAACGGACTGAATTTTCGTCCACGAGATTATTCGAAGCCCAGTTACCATTTGTATAGTCTACTCGTCCTGCCTCCTCTGCTCGAGTAGACATGGGAATTTCCTTCACCGGAACGCTCCCTTCATGCATCTCTTCATAGATTAAGCCGGAATTCTCCCAGAGACGCCAGCCACAGCACCGAGTTACACCTTAGCAAAATGACTGAGTGAAGACAATGCTGGAGATGGCGATGTGGCTGATTATGTCCGAGAGACTGTGTAGACAAATAATAGTAATACTTTTATCCAGAATAAGGGCCACGAGTTTATGATCCTCTCGGCAAGTCGACTGAAATGGGCAGAATGGTATGCCCGTTGGCGGAAGGTACTTTCAATGGTCGAATCATACTTTGTAGTGTCGGATTGTGTTCACGGTACATTCTCAAACGGTTCGCCTGCCTCGTAGTCGGCATTGTCGAGCGCATCAAGCTACAAGTCTCTCACCTGAACAACCTCTTGCTCAACAGTTGTGCTATCTTTCCTGTCTTGGAGCATTGATGCATCCAAAATGCTCATCTTTTTCTTCAATCAATTTTCTGTTTAATCCTTGGCCATTCAACCGTACTCTTTACCACTTGGTGGTGCTGGTGGACCTGAGCTTTAGGCGAGATGGAAGCCACACTCGAGATTGGGTGTGAAAGCCTTTTAGAGTGGCATACTGGATGCTATTCATTTGACGGACTGGCCAGGCTTTTGTTCAAGCAGATTCGGGTGGCATCCTGTGTTTTTCGTAAGCCTTCTCGACTTCACCTCATTTCTTAGCCTCTCCTTGATACTCCTCTTAGGCCACAGTAACTAAGGCGATTGTTGCGAGACAATGCTGATTTTGTAAATATATGGACCGATCAAACCGGCAAGACCACACATATAACTTCGGGGTTTTTCAGGACAAATCTTTATGCAACTAAAGGCCTTGCAGGTTTGGTAGAGGAAGTCTATTCACTGTATTTAGTTTAATGTAATAATGCGTTTCTAGTCGACTTTTTCCCACATTGATATGGGTAGTCTTTACATTTTATATATTAATGATCTACTGGTAGTCCTGATAAGCATACTTATAAACGAAATTTGTAATTTTAGTATACGTTTTGATTGTTTCTGAATTTTTGACCGAATTGCTTCTCGACAGGATCATAGGCTATACTGGGACCCTTGTTCGATGCGGAGAGCACTCTTGACGACAGGATATGATGCCAAACTGTATTGCCCTTTCGCTTAAATACAGACATTTACAATTTTGTGTTCGAACCGCTTTTATGGTTATAAAAGATTTAAAAAATGTATATATAAAGAGAAGATGGTCTTTCCAGATTCCATTATTAGATTGGTTTTGGCTACTTTCGTTTCGGTTATAAGCAGATTATAAACCCAGAATAAGTGATGCAGTCTATTGCTGCAGTATAATACAACTTAATTTGATATGGGAAAATGATTGGCCTTGAAATTCACATCTGCAATGCGACTAAAGAGCACTCGGGAACGTGCGGCAAAAATCTCGAAATTATATGCTGCGTGGTCATGATTTGAGTCACCCTGGGAGGGGCTGAGACTTGCCGTCCGCTTCAGCCTAAATGAGAGTAACTTTTAGTAAGACAAAGCTATGTGAAATTCAATCGAAACGAAAGGTCTATTCATATAATTGTGGGAAAATGTGTCTACTAGTCCCTTTATTCTCTTAGGGTTAATAACTATCATATTTACCTTCTTCTTTGAATAGGCGACACGAGGACAATCGTAAATTGGCCTCATCGGAAGCCTAGTGAACACTACTTTGTAGTTGCCACTGCCGATTTGCTCCGTTACCCTTTCTTCTCTCTCACCATCTCACACATCCTCAGACCAGATCACTGTGCTTTAAGATCATTCATTAAGCACCGCCACAACCCTAACTATTTTTATGGCCCGATTTGCCAACCAAAGGATACATCTCATCGTTTCCTCGATGCAAATAGCCTAGCGAACTTCTTAAAGAGAATAAGGAGAGTAGATGAAAATACCAAATTCATCATCGGTCTAGAATAGGATTATGACCCTTATTAGTAAAAAGGCAACGGAACTGGGTAGAACAGGTATTATGATTAGTCATAATAAAGAGCCTGAGTCATGCAGATATCAATAAGCGGTAACAGTAAAGAAAATTTTACTCGATAAATATTATCCAACAGGAAAGAATATAAGCAAATAGGATATGAACAAATATGTTTATAAATGAATAATATTTATTGAGTAAAATTTCCTTTACAGTTACCGTTTATTGATATATGCAAGACTCAGTCTCTGCACTATCAATAATCATACGTGAACTTCATAGCTATGATTTGAAAAGATTTATTTAAAAGGAAACCTAATATGCCCAAGTTTGCGAAGAAAAGTTGGGTCTAGAGGAATCTCTTATTTCATAATTGTTGAACTTCCATTTTGAGTGAAAGTGTTGGGTGAAGAGATTCGAAGATCGGTTCCACCATAAGACGACGGCGGATTCTTCTTGACCAGCTGTCGATTGGCTCTAATAAAAGATTCATGCTAACGCTGTTTCCGAGGCAATTTTCTCAGATTCCGGTGAAAAGGTGCTAAGCTTTCGTCCGTCATATGACTCGTTAGCTTGAATTTTGTTGTGACGATGATACCTTGCTCTGATGATGTCCGTCATATGACGGACGTAAGCTTACCACCTTTCACCTGAATCGAAGGAGATTGCCTCGGAAACAGCGTCAGCATGAATCTTTCAGTA